ATTGGCGCTGGCCGCGGCGTGGGGCGGTGGGACCGGGAGGGCACGGGCTGTGGCTGCGCTCGGCGCCCCGAGGACCTCCGGGCGCAGAGCCGTGCCCGGAGCGCGGAGACGGGCAGCGTCTGCACCCTCCAGCCTCCCTTAGCTGGGAGAAGTCCCTTTTCCGGTGGCGGTGGGAAGGGCTTTGTGGCCCTGCTTTTGCAGGGGAGTTGCCCCTGACACGTTTCACAGCCCTTGCAGTGCCTTATAAATGTGAGTCTCTGTTTTCCCAGCGTGGAATCCGGCCAAGCCCAGTTTTTTTAAAAGCACAGTAATTTGCAGCATTATATAAGTAAATCTTCCTGTTTCAGGCCCCTTCAAAGAGGTGATAACAGTGCTTATGCGTAGGACCTGGAAGACAGAAAGGAGTTTGGTCCTCTCCCAGATCTGTTTTGAGACAATACCATCCTTTTTGCCTAAGAAGAGTCGATTTCTGCTCCCTGCATTGCTAAGCAGGGAGAGGGGTTGCTGCGGGCTACCCATTCCTGCAGACCTGTCGAGAAGTTTGCAGCGCAGCAGACGTGATTCTTGTAGACGTTACTTGGTTTCATCAGTCTTAATTACTGCAAATATGGTTATTTTATTCCCTAATAGGGCAAACTGTAGCTGGCTGCCTGGCAGCTGTGATTTTCATTTCCAAACACGTCTGACACGTTGCAGCTCTTCCAAAACGGAGCTGTAGATGTCATAGCTATGTGCTGACTTTTGTGTGTGTGAAGGGGAGGCAGGCGGGCTTTCCTTTTGCCCTGACCACCTTACACGTGCTTAGGAAAAAAATCCCTTCTGTTTGAAACTACCTCTGTGTTGGGCAGGAAGGAAGTCGAAGAAACCTTAATGCGGCTGAAGTAAAAGCTTTCTAAAACTGGTCTTTCTTAATAAGGATTTTCAATGAGTCAGGGAAAAATGTTGTGGCATGCAGGACGCAGAACGTAAACCCTCTGGCATCAGGCTTTGTGAAGCTTGCTCAACGATCCCAAAATTTGTGGGACTCCTTTCCGTTCAGGGTTTTTCACCATGCGTTGGCAGCGCAAGAGAGCTCGTGTCTCGCCCTGCCCAAGTCTGTGCGTGGATAGAGAGGCCAGCGGAGCGCCCCGGGGAGAGGGATGCTGCTTGCAGGGGAAGAGCCAACAAACGAACCAGCCACAGCCCGGTGCAGTCGAGCTGCTCGGGAATCCAGCCTGTGCTCTCCCTTTCGAAAGCAAGAGGGAAAATCCCCAGCAACACCTCATCACCCCTGCCTGCTCTAACCCCTCCTGTTTTTCCTTTTAGTAGTTTTCTAGCAGTTTTTATTAGTGCTAACAAGTAGTTGGTACTACCTGCTGGTAACTGTTAGCTTTTATTGCCAAAACCTGGTAGTCTCATCTTTTAAAAACACTCTAGGCAAATCAGTGTGGCTCAGTGGTGCCTGAAAGAAGTTCGCTGGACGCTGTGAAAACTCAGTATGACTC